AGAACATGAGGAAGGTAAGAAAAATGTGAACTAGGCAGACGAGGAACTGAGGTTATTTTCCAAATTGATGAAGAAATTAAATAACAATAAAATACTTATAATTTACTGTATATTTTGAAAGTTGATATTTTAATTTCCATTTGTTATAACTGCATTGTAATTTTTATAAATGTAAACATTTATATTTGTAATAACCTATTACAGTACCTAGATTTCAAAGTATATTCAATTGATTTTGAATCTACTTTGTTTTTAAAAAATTGTTTTAACATCAGGGAAGCATAGCTGCTTTCCTCTACTGCATATCTGTATACATTTATATTATTGCAAACTTTTTCCTTCAAAAATCAAAAATTTCTTATACTTGATGGAATCCCATACATCTTAGCCAACTTGATGGAATCCCATACATCTTAGTCATTTGTTACACATTTTCAATATAGCTAATGCTAGTGTATATACAATAACAACCAGAAGTCAAAAAAAGGTTCAAGAGTAGTATCACTCAAAAGAGGAATGGAAAAACATATAAAAGAGAAAACCCATTTTTATCTCTTCTCAGTGTTGAACAAAAGTCCTAACTCAAGCGATTCTCATTGCCACATTTTAAAATATCTTCCTCCATGCCCTCTTGTGCTACAGGATTTCCTCCCTAATAATCATCAACCTTGAAGTGAAAAGAGAGCTGAATTCATCAGTGGGATAGGAGGGTCAAGTCAAGTTACCAGCATTCCACATGACTGATTTAGTAAGAGACAAATCCTGCTGATCTCCTTGGGTCCCATATGTCCATGGGAAGCTTTATTCTTTTTATTCTTTTTAGAGCAGCTGCATTATATACAGTAGCTCTTGCCTTCCATAGCACTTTCCAGCAGTAGCCTATAGACTCATTCTACTCAACAGCAGAGCCAGTTCTGCGAAACCTGAGAAGAATCTAAGCCCCACTCAAACTTGGGAAGTTAGGACTTGAATAATTATTTGAAGGTTTATTTCATTTTCACCAAGATGATGATAGCATGAGCTGGCAGGAGACATTTTTATTTGAGGGAGAGACGAGGAAGTAATGGTTAGTTCTGTGCTGGCTATATTAAAAATGAAATGCAGGAGGGACTTGCAAGTGTAAAACTCAGAGAGACAGCTGACTACAGGTACATGGCATGCATCTGGATAGGTGATCATATGTCTGAGAGCCATACATGTATGCAGTGGTTGAAATCAGGGACACAGAGGTGGAAATTGAAAGGATATATTAAAAAGGAGTGACCAGCAAAAGAGACAGAAAACAAATCCGAGAAGCAGAATCTCAGAGTCCAAAGGAAGAGATAATTTTAAGAAATCAAGAGAAACAATGAAATGGCCAGCACATTGAAAACCCATGAGTCATGAGGAACAATCATAAATCAGTTTTCCTTTTGTCTTTCATTGGCCCTTTAAATGCATAATATGGAGCTAATTTCCCCATGTTCCACATGGATACAAAATGAGTCAGTCACATGGCTTTTCTGGTCTTTCTCAGGCAATAGAATGTCCTACAGTTACTTTAAATTGCAAAATACAAATTCAATTCAGAAAATGGAATGCCTAATCCTGTATATTAGTCAACACTCCAATCTTTATTTAAAGAACAGACATTTTCAAGAGCATACTTCTTTCCCTTTCATCTAGCTAGGACATGATGAAGGCAGCAAGTCTATAGCCAAAGAAGGTAGCTTGGTTAGCCTCCTCTCTCATGTAGTAGCTGCTGGAAGGGCAGAAACTCACTGGACTAGTGCCATCCAAGGCAGTCTATTGTCTCTGGTCCTGCATATACATAAAACTGACTTTTCACTGACAGTGGTACCTTCCTGACTCCTTCATTGATCTCTTCCTCACCATTAGGTATCACTCACCTTTTGTTTTAGTGCAGTCAGATGCATTTTCAATTCAATTGGTTGCTCATTCGTTCTGTAGCCCACAGGAATCTTGTCCCTTTCTCTACACAGTCTCTTTAGTCTTCTAAGCAGTACTTTGAGCACATACTAAGACAACTCCACCCTGTCTCTCTTCCCTGTGGTCTTCATCTGGTCCTGGGAAATACACGTCTTCCTTGTCATGATGAACTCTGGGAGTATAAGACATGCAGGGCATTGTCTTCCAGCTTATCTATCCAAACCTGGCTAGACTGTTTCTTCTCAGTTATATTTGCCCGGTCTAAGATAGATATCAATGTACTGGTCTCTCCAACTGCAGGAAACACACCACCCTTCAAGGGATCTAATAAAACCTTCTCACTGGACTCAAGTGGAAAGCACCACTGACTCCTCCATTTTTCCCACCAGTGAAACCTGTTCCCTCATTCTGTCTTTTCCTTAACACAGTCTTATTTATTACATATTTTTATACACCTTGTCTTCTATTTGGATGAGAATTTAATAGTCACGTAACTAGTTCTTGAATCTCTACATGTTGCAAGTTCTGCTAATGTATGTACTATGCATCATGAATACAGAATGAATGAGAAAGAAACAAAATGAAGAAAAAAAAATCTGTTATTTTTTAAATCATGTTTTCTTCAATCATAGTGTTCTTTTTAGATTTGTTAGTAAGGGAATGAAGAGTGAGAGATTAGACAATAACTTTCAGGGCTCACAAAGCAGGGCAGGATCAAAAGGAGCATGTAGAATGAACAGCATGTTTGTAGACAGTTATGACATTACCCATATAGAGAGATGTTCGAGTTAAAATAAAGGGAGGATTTGGTGGATCAAAGATCATGGAAGGGAGGAACAAGAGTAGGAAAACAGGAAGGGATCATATCAAGAACTGGCAACAGGTTATTTTTAGACAAAAATGCACGTGGTTTTCTTCTAAGACTAGTTAAAAACTTAAGAATGTGTGACAATGTAGACAAGTTGGAAGCAGAGAAAAGATAGTCTGGAGATACTTATATCTGGCTTTGTCTGTGAGCAGAGGGCTAGATTATCTGCAAGGGCAAGAGCATGGAATTAAAATTGAAGAGACTGGCAGTAGCTCAAAAGGAGAAAGTAAGTTGATAAGAAGTACAAACATGGTAGTGCTTCCGATCAGCATAGGTACATGATCTTTCCCCAAGTCCTCACAGATCAGGGCAGGGGAATCTAGCTCCAGTGCTGGTCAGACCTACTACACAGTGATAGGTGATGGACCTGTACTTTTAAAGCAATTCTTGTTCCGTGTCTAAAGTAAGGTGGGCTGTGAGATGGGTAGATAATAGGAGAGGAACAGAATGGGGTAAAAGGCTCAGCCTTGAATTTAAGAACACTGAAGGGTAGAGGAAGCAGTGTAATGAAGGGAATCAGATTTCATTTAAGGAAAGTAAGTTAAGTGAAAAAGCTGAGACAATCAGACATCCCTAGGCCACTGAGCAGGCATTTTGCTGATAACCCTGGGAAGACTAACAAGGGGGATGAGTAGAACGAAAATGGGTAATTGAATGTCATGAAATGCCACTGATGGGCATGAGTGTTGCAAGGAGGACAGGGGATTGGAGAGGATATTTTTCTCCTGGTAAATGTGATAAGAACTTTGAAAAAGGCAGAGATGGTCAGGAGTGAAACAAAGCAACCCCAGAGTTCCAACTGGGGAATCTGTAGAATATTCTTTCAAAAAAAATTATACACAGGAGTTAGTGTGTACAGTGACTGGCTCCTATTTTACTCTCAAAATCCTGACAGTATTTTTTATTTAACATTTACTGTACTATGTGCTCTCTATACTCATTTACGTGATTTATAATAACATCTGTAGAAAAGAATCATAATGCTGTCAGACTATCAAGGTATCATTTCTGTGGTGACAGAAGTAGAGCATCACAGATTAAAATATATGTATGTCCATATGTCATGAAAACAAAAATTATTTCAACAAATATTTGAAATGATATTTCTTCACTTTCTAAAAATCACATTGAATTTTAAAAGAAAGTCAAAATGAACTAGCATAAGTTCTTTTTCAGTAATTACCCTGTCACCTGTCCACCCTCTAATGGAGGTGTTAATGAGGAGTGTAATAGCCAAAAGGCAGGCAGCGGGGGGGCAATGAGTTAAAAAGAGCCCAGATAATCGCAAACCCTGAAATAATTAGCAATTATATTTATAAACATACACATACTGAGAAACAGATTTGACTGGTTTTATTACATGCTTTCTGAGTCCCTCGTGCACTACTAGCTTCTCAGGGATAGGAGCATCAAAGAATTCTTAGATTTAGTCCAAACTTTAGACAAGCTCATAACACACACACACACACGCACACACACGCACACACGCGCACACACGCGCACACACACACACAGCGAATTGGCATTACAGCACATATTCAAAAATACAGTAATAAACAAAATGAGTGAGGGCAAATGCTCACAGACACTCAGAGAATAAGAAGTAGAATATTAAAGAAAGTGTAACTTTGAAAAGTGATTTACTTTCATAATATACCTTACACACTGAAAAAAGTGATCGTATCACAGGATACAAAGCTACGTTTCTCATCTGCCAGCCTTTAAAGCTAAATTAGAAAGTCAAGGAAAACGTAAACAGATGCAATGAACTAATAAATATGCAATAAATTCAAGGACAATGAAGAACAAAGCATATACATATATTCCATATGATACACACACACACACATACATACACACATATATATATGAAGAGAGAAAAAGTATGTATGTGTGTATTTTCTTCTTCAGATATGTCTTTTCCTGTCTTTCTCCATATCCACTCAGCTTTTTGAGGAAAAAGATATTTTATCTGATCCAATATTCCCAGACACTAGGATAGACGCAATCTATCACTATAGAGCAACCCACTCTAGGAAATACTCAAAGATCACCATATATTAAGTAAATGCAGATGTCATGGAACCAAAAACACATCAACAACAAAAAAACACTTTTTACAGAAGTTATAGCTTTGTAGCTGCCAAAAAAATTAACTGTTAGTAAAGAAATAGTTTAATTATTAATTCTCATAAAAATATACCTTCCAGTCTGAGGATCAAATCCAAAGTAACGGTCTTTGCATTGGTCACAATGTTGCCCAGCAGTGGAAGCATCTTGGCAAACACACTGACCAGTCAGGCTATTACAGATGTGATTAACTGCACCAGCTGTATGGCATGAGCATGGCAGGCAGCCAGTGGCATTGCCTGGAGAAATATAAAAACCTAGAAATAAAGAAATTAAAAGTTTTTATGTATGCTTTTTTTTCTATTCTTGTATTTAAAACATAATAATTGATTACACAGTAAAACAGAATACTCTACCATGGCACTATCTAATTCCCAATATGTTTGTATCTGTTCTTAAGTGGGTCAATTATGACCAAAGAAAAACTAAGTAAATTAGCTGCATTGCACTTGGGTGTCTCCCAGGCACCTGCGATTCAATGTATTTAAAATCTACTGCATAATATTTCCACAACAACTTGACTTCCTCTAATCATCTCCATTCCAACAGATATTACCAGCCATTCAGTTGCTTCACCTAGAACCCTGAGGTATCTTTGGTAGGGCAGATTTATAAAATATAGAAAACCAGTTACATTTAAATTTCTAACAAATAAAATTTTTTACTAAAGGTACATCCATGCAGCATTTGCTTAGACTAAAAAAAATTTATCTGAAATTCAACTTAATTCTGTACTTTGCTAAAACAAAAGCTTGCATCCTCCACTTCCCTGACCCCCTACATTTTGCTAATTACCAAGTCCTATGGATATTGCCTCCTAACAATTTTAAACCTTCTACTCTCCACCCCCACTACCACCTCCCCAGTTAAAGTCACCAACCGCTTTTTTATAGCTAATACCTCAAACTAGATGCTACTGTAGGAGCTTTATATTTAGTATCTCATTTAGTTTCCAGAGCAACACAAATAATGCAGGAATTATTATTATGTGTATTTTGTCAATTAGAAGACAGAAGATTCAGAAGGTTAACACACTTTCCTAAAATGATAGAGTTAACGGATAGCAGAACCCGGGTTTACACCTAGGCCACCCAGGCCCAGACCATCGCTTCTAATGGTGTCCCTTTTGTCCTGTTCTAATCTATTCTTCATAGAACAGCTGGAGCAGTCTTTTCCAAAGTGCAGTTTGGACATCTCACTTCTCTGTTTGAAACTACTTGATGGCTTCCTATTCCCTTTAGGAAATAAATTCAAAGCTCTCACCCAGCCTCCAACCCTACAGTCAGGGCCCAGCCATGTCTCTAGCTTCAGCTCACAGCTCATTCTCTGCTCAGTCCACTGCAGTCACACTTGTTCCTGTTCTTGAGACCTAAAGGCCTTTCCATGGGCTGTTCTGTCTTCTAGGATGATTTTGACTTATCTCTTTTGCTTTGTTCACTCCAGGTAAGTCAGGTCTCATGACTTCCTCAAGCAACTTTCCCTAGGCCAGGCTAGGTATGCCTGTTACGAATTCATAACATCCAGTTTAGTGCCTTAAGTGTTTATGAGAGTTATAATCAATCTCATTTCCACCAAAATCTAACCTCTAAAAGGGCAGAAAATCCATCTGTTTCATTTATCATTGTCCCCTAGCAACCAACATACTTCTTGGCACATAGTAGGCACTCCATACACATTTGATGAACTAATAAAAATGAGTTCAATTATTAAACAGTCTGTGAGTCCAAGAAGTACACTAAAAAAAAAAAAACCTGCAGAATTTAAAGATTTTAGAATTAATTCTAAACCCCATATTTTTTTCTTACAGAAAAAAGGAAAGAAATACAAATATGATTCAAAAGCCTATTCAAGTTACTTATAATCCCTTGGACCCAGGAGATGGAAGTTAACTTATAAAATTAGAAAGCTATGAGATAGTTAAATGATGGAGCAGGCATATGATGGAGAAATGATTCTTAGTGTTATGTGATGTGTGTATGCATGTATATGTACATATACACATACGCATATGCACAGACACAAGCACGTGCAAAATGCTGCAATGAATTTTATTGAAACAAGGGGTAGAGGGATCACAGAAAGATTCTAATGAATACAGTTACAGCAAATAAAAATGAATTGTATGACTGTCATGACACTAAAGTTCATAAAATAGCAGTGATACTGAAAGAAGGAGAGCGTGAACACAAAGTGAATGCAGTCTGTTATCTATTCTACAGGGAAAAGCAAAAAAGTAATTGGGATATTCTAAAATTCGCTCCAGGTTCTAGTTGAAAACACGCCATTTTCTTATAGTTACCAGTAATTGGGTTTTTTCCTTCTCCTAGCTCCTGTACATTCTGTCTTACAAAGCTTCAAGAGCAGCAAAATAGAAAACATTGTGCTTAATGAGAGGAAAAGGAAAGAGTTCAAAATCTGTGCCAATTCATTTGGAGGAAATCAACTAATACTATAATTTTATTATAATTTACAGCCAGGTTATGCTATTTGTTTATTTGCATCCCCTGACAGCAATTTGCTTATATATACACTTCCAGACGTAGAGTATGGCCATGACAATGAGTATATATTGTTCTACCCGATTCATCACATGATCAAAGTCAAATTTAGAAGGCTTCTGTTTAAATTCAAGGCCACTGTGTTTGGGATTCTTTGTATTTTTTGTTCCTGTGAAGGTATCTAGGCCCTTAAATCCATGATGATGGCATCATGAATGTGCTAACAGCTCTCCAATTTGGATAAATTACCCATTAGCACAGATACTTACAAGTAGAATTAATTTAGACTTACTGCAACAGCTCCAAGCCACAGAGAATTCGGAACAATTAAGGGCGATTTTTAGAAGAAATGATATATTAGATAAACCCGTAAGTACAAGGGAGGTGGATGGCATTTTGGTGCAGAAGTAGGGTAATCCAAGTTTAGGGGGTAAAGAATGTCATAGAAGAATCAGAAACATAAGTAGAGAAGAACTAAAAAGATATTAAAGCACCTAGGGAGACTGAAAGTGAATGTAAGGCTTCCAGGAAAAGACTGCATGGGAATTTGCCTTGGGGTTAATTTCCCTTCTCCTCTCAGGAGCATGATTATAAAGGTTAATCCCACCAGTATTTTAGTTGTCCTATTTTTAAGCAGTTCTAATTAGGATGACTCAGGTAACTTCCTGCTCAAAGATTACCTCTTGCCTTACCTGAATGTCCCTAATTCTATACCATTACCTTTCTTTTATGACTTCCAACTTTCGAAAACAATCTTTTCTCTTCCCTTCTGCTTAAACTGAATGTCGCTTAATTATAACTGATCTTAATTTATTTTAACATAATGCATTTCTGATATCCCTTCATTAGCTCTACTTCATGTTCCAACTCTTTACATCTGAAGCATTTTAACTGATCTTATTGAGATTCCATTCCATGAATGATTTTGTACCACATTCTTAAGCATGGTCGTTAGAACAACATTATTATCTCGCATTATGTAGTGCTGAGAGTTCACACATACATGGTCCAAATCAGCTCCCTAGTTTATTACTGTCCCATTTTATTTAGCTGACCCCTGGTTTAAACATGACAAATCTCAAGTGGAAAAAAAATGCATCATTCAGCTAAAGCAAAGAGTCACCCATATCATAAAATAGTGTTGCTTTACCTAGGAGAAGAATCTTTAGAGTTCAAAGTTATTAGCAAGGCAGCTGGTATTATCTCCTGTAGTGGCTATTTGCACAGCACCGTACTTGTCCTGGGCATAAAAGAAGAGCCCATTTCCCAGCAATGTCCCTCCTGAGGACCATGAACAACTAGGCTTTGCCAGGGTCTTGAAAGGGAGAAAGAAAAGCAGTGTAACCTCCAGGCCTTATTCAAGAAAGGAGGGCAATGCTGGGCTAAGCACTAATTGTAAGCCATTTGGAAGAAACTACTCTCATCTTATGCCAGAAAATGGACATAATAGTTACACAAGAGCCTAGAGGGGAACGTGTGGCTCACCTAAATCCATGCAACAAAAGGATATCTTGTAATGGCTTTACAAATTAATATTTTCAGAATGATGTATAGTTGATGACAGTAGTTTTCAAATTAAAACAATTTTTCTCCATTCAGTAGTTTTATATAAAATCATGCTAAAATTATTATTTCTAGACTTGATCAAGTGAATACATAAATATTATTATTCATCCCAAGGTATAATTTATCTTTTTTAAAACAATTTTAAACTATCTTTCAATGAAATTAAATATACTTTAAATGTTCTGCTCTTATTCCTTTTTTCTGGGCTGCTACTCCCTCCTTGAGCAGATTACTGATTCCTATTTCCTTTTAAAATTCAGTTCAGAAATTATTTTCTCTGAGTTCCTAACACCCCTCATCCTTCAAGAATTAATCATTTCCTTCACTTTACCACTTCTTGATGCTGTATATTTCTAATATTGCTCTTATCATATTGTGATACATTTACATGTGAGTCAGTTTCCTCTACTAAATCACGATGTCTTAGTATATTTGTGATTGTGTATCTTAACACCAGCATAGCCCCTGGTAATTTACTCAATAGATGTTTATTGAAAAATGGATATATGAATGAAATAGATAAATGGCTCAATGGATGAATGGGTGGATGAATGGATAAATATCTGCTACCCTTTAAAATATGAGATGATCCCTTTTACACTGAAAAGGAAAATGGTAAACATAAATCTGTGAGTCATGAGAGTGGTTGGTCAGAGTGGCCTGTCCTATCAGGGAGTCTAGAGAGGAATGTATATGAATCAGACACAATAAATTTAAAATACAGTACCCGTCACAGAAACAAATGGAACAGAGCTATAGAAAGAAAAATTCACCCTAAAACTATATCTCCTGTTCTTAAAGGACATAATAATATGCTCATGTAAAAGAAAACAATATTGGAATTTTCTGTTTCATAAATAATCAAATTTTTCTATTTATGTGAATACCCATGAAAGGCCCTCATTAACATATTCTCTAAGAATCAAATCCAATAACAACAAATAACCTAAATAATGAAAACTCTGATTACATCTAGGAGGTTATAATTAACCTATATGTGTATGCATATTCGAAATCCACAGCAAAACTTATATTCTCTGTTCCCATTCAGTGTTTATCAAATGTATGCTCCAAAGCCTGTCTCCTATGTCATTCCAACTATCTCCAAAATTTCTCTAACTATCAGAGATAATTCCATTTCTAGACCCCTTCAGTTTACCTTAACATTATTTGAACACTGTAGTTTCCCAGGA